CCCAGCCCTCTTCATCTCATCTTGTAGTTTTTCCTGTGTGGTGATCATCACAGAAGTATGCACAGCCTTCCTGCTCAATGCATCAGCTACCACGTTGGCTTTGCCTGGATGGTACAGAATCTCTATGTCATAATCCTTTACCAGCTCCAACCATCGCCTCTGTCTCATATTGAGCTCCTTCTGCGTGAATAAGTACTTGAGGCTCTTATAATCAGTGAAGACTTGTACTTTTTCCCCATACAGGTAGTGTCGCCACGTTTTTAGAGCGAATACTACCGCTGCTAACTCGAGATCATGCGTGGGGTAGTTTCGTTCATATTCTTTCAATTGTCGAGAAGCATACGCTATCACCTTACCTTTCTGCATGAGCACACACCCCAAGCCTTTCCCTGATGCATCACTGTACACCACGAGATTACCTGACCCATCTGGAACCGTAAGGACTGGTGCAGTTACCAACCTCTTCTTGAGTTCCTGGAAACTCTGTTCGCAGACTGGAGTCCAAGCAAAGGGCTTGCCCTTCTTGGTTAGCTGAGTCAGCGCCGAGGAAATTTTGGAGAAATCCTGAACAAACCTTCTGTAATAACCAGCTAGCCCAAGAAAACTCCTCACCTCTGTGACTGTGGTCGGCTGTGGCCACCTCATCACTGCTTCTATCTTAGCTGGGTCCACTGTGATCCCCTTGCTTGACACCACGTGACCCAGAAACGCAACTTCAGACAACCAAAACTCACACTTAGAGAACTTGGCATACAACTGCTGAGCTCTCAGTATTGTCAAGACTTTTCTGAGGTGTATTTCATGATCTGCCTCTGACTTAGAGTATACCAGAATGTCGTCGATGAACACTAAGACAAAGGTGTCTAAGAATTCCTTAAACACCCTGTTCATTAGTTCCATGAAAACAGCTGGTGCATTGGTAAGGCTAAAAGACATAACGAGAAACTCGTAATGCCCATAACGACTTCTGAAGGCTGTCTTGGGTATATCCCCTTCCCTGACCCTCAACTGATGATACCCCGACCTTAGGTCAATATTGGAGAAAACTGTTGCTCCCTGTAGCTGATCAAACAGGTCGTCAATTCTCGGGAGAGGGTACTTATTCATTATAGTGACCTTGTTTAATTCCCTGTAATCAATACACATCCGCATGGACCCGTCCTTCTTCTTGACAAACAGAACAGGGGCTCCCCAGGGTGATACACTGGGTCGGATGAAACCCTTATCCAACAACTCCTGTAACTGTTCCTTCAATTCCCTGAGTTCTGCAGGTGCCATCCTGTAAGGTGCCTTGGAGATCGGCATCGTTCCTGGTTCTAAATCGATCCCAAAATCGACTTCCCTAGCTGGGGGCAAACCCGGCAGATCCTCCGGAAAGACATCTACGAACTCCCTGACGATGTGTACCGATGAGGTTTTTTGTTTGTTACTATTATCTAAGGTCACGCTGGCTAGGAATGCAATTGCGCCACTACGAATCAACTTCTTAGCCCTTAGCGAGGTTATGACGCTCGGGACACCTTTGGAAGTGGCTCCCTTGTAGGTAAAGATGTCCCCTGACGGGAGCCTGAGAGTCACTATTCGGGTCTCGCAGTCTATCAAAACGCGATTCCCGCCTAGCCAATCCATACCCAAGATGACATCGAAGTCTTGCATCCTTAACACTATCAGTGTAGCTTCGATGACACGCCCTGCTATCGTTACTCCACCTCCCTTCACCCTATGGGTAGCTAGCAACAGCTCGTGAGCAGGGGTAGACACTGATAGGGTAATCTCTAAAAGTTCTTTCTCTAGCTGTGCTAGCTCTACAAACTCTTCAGATACGAATGAATGCGTCGAACCCGAATCAAACAACACTAATGCAAGATGACCAAATACGGGTAGCGTACCTGTGACAACCGCGTCAGGCTGGTCAGCTTGCCTGGCTGTTGTTGCATGGGCTACAGCTCGCCCCTGCTGATGTTGGCCGGCTTGGCCCCTCTGATGCTGTACTGCAGGCAGGTTAACACGCTGATCGTTTCTCTGAGGGCAATCCACTGCAAAGTGCCCTACCTGACCGCATCTGTAGCAGGCGCCTGTTCCTGCTCTGCATTCCCCCGTGTGAGGACGCCGACAATTAGGGCACAAAGTCATGTTCCGTACCGGGGCTCTCCCTCGCCTATCAGTGCGGCCACGGGGTGGTCTGCCAGTTCTGGGGTGGCTAGGGTATGCCCCCTTTCCCTGGGCCGCAGTGTGGGATGATTGTGCTATTCCCAACTGAAGCTTGTCGGTACGGGGCGAGTCGAGCAGGGTCGCCACCTGAAGGGCTTTCGTATAGACAAAGGATGACTGGGATGCCACATTCCCCCTTAGTTCTTCCCTCAGGCCAGCAATAAATCGTTCGCCCTTCAACTCCTCAGAACTAACATAGGCTGGAGAAAACCTTGCCAGCCTATTGAACTCCAAGTCATAATCCCCCACTGATCTGTCTCCCTGTTTCAATGCGAGGAACGCGGCCTGCATTTTCACTCTGGCAGTGATTTGGGTAGTATTTGTGGAGGTATGCGTCTTTAAACTGACACCATGTAATAAACTCTCCTTGTGGTACTATGGTTTTCTGAGCACCTTTCCACCAGAAGTGCGCTTCTCCTTTCAGCATATATGTCCCACAATGGACTTCATACTTTGGTGGGCAGTTCATAAAATGGAAGGCCGTTTCTATGGCCTCTAGCCAATTCTCAGCGGCAATAAGATCCATCTTGCCTTCGTCAAAGGAAGGCGGTTTATGCCTCTGGAAATCTCTCAAGTAGCGGGACTCCACAGTCATAGTCCCTGAATCCTTGCCCCCTTGCCCTGTTGACTGATTAGACATCATGGTCTGAATCATCTGGTTCGTCAGAGCCTGATTTTCCATCGACGTCATCATGAACGTCTGAAACATCTCTGCTGAGGGCATGGCTAATGGCTGGTTTAGTGGGACTGCTGTACACGGGGTTGGATCCGATGGGGCCTCCTCGGAGAAGGGAGTAGTAGGGGGTGTCTCGAGCAGCCTTCGGGCCTTGGCCTTCATTCGGCGTCTTTTCGATCTTGATGGCTGTGGTACTGTCCCCTCGCTAGTTTGGGGCATATCCCCAACCTCCTCCTGAAGTTCAGGTTGTTCCTCTTCAGGTATTGGAACCGAGGTGTCCTGAACTTCCTCTCTTCTTCCCCTTCTAGGTCCTGGCCCTACATACGGTTCGCGTCTCTTTGGTGCCATTATCTACCACGATAACAAAGAACTATGGTCACAATTCATCCACAACACATCTCCTAGGTAATGTGCGATATAATGCCCTGGTCAGTCATGGTATGCTCTATAAATACTAACTTAACCTTTGTCTCTATTTTTCCGTCGCGTGAGAACATCTGGTCGTGAGCGGCATGTGATTGACGAGCGAAGTCACAGAGGACACGACTCTCTACCCTAAATGTCTACAGGACCTATAATCTGACGGCTCTGATACCAAATTTGTCACAGCCCAATATTTTACTACGGACGGTGACTAACGACACGACACAGATGCACAAGAGATTTAAATATGAAGTAGTGAAAATCATCAAATTTCAATAAAGTTTTTCGAACGATAAACACAGAACACAAGACCGTTTGGAAAATAAATTTAAAAAGAATGCGAATACAAAAATGATGACTAAGACTGGACTGACGCCCCGGGACAACCCATTCCTCTGTGACAATTCCCTTCAGATCACGCCCACTCTTGGCCGACGCCTCGCGCCCCTGAAAAAAAAAAGAAAACATAGCAAGGATGAGTATAAAAATTATACTCAGTAAGCCACCTACTTGTAGGCTCTCTTCGCATCTTAATTTAACAGAACTCCCACGGTTTCCTAATTTGGTTCTAGGACATCGGGTTCTAACCATAGCCTCTTGGGGCTTGCCCCTTGGGTTTCACCGGTTCATCGTCCTTTCATTAGCCACCTAGAGGTTCCTTATGCCAAGCTAATATGGTCGGTATCTCTCTATGAGGCGCTACCTCTACATGGCTATCTAGAACTACATGGTACCTAGCCTAGGGGTGTGCTGAATACCCCTACGCCCATATAGTCCTCCTATGGGGGGCGCGACCCAACCCGTTCCCATGCAGCTAATGGGCTGTACGACGTGGGGACACATTTCCCATGCGAAATGGCTAAGAATAGTAAGGACTGATCAGGGACCCTTGGTCCTCCCACGAAGCTATAGATACCGTTCTCACGCTAGCAATCTATGAACCCCCTTAGGTACTTTCTTACCGTGGTAAACCGCTAAGTTTCTAGGAGAAAATTAAGTCTGTCTAGAGCGGCATATCGCTCCTAAAAGAAATTCCCTAATCTTATCATAGAAATGGGCCCTAGCAATTAACAGAGGGTGCATGCAATCTTCTTCTAACATCATAGTATGTAATTCATGCAAACTAGGCATACCGGCTCAACGGGGCGATGACCTCCATCAAGCACCCAGAGCACGAGGTTCGCGTTCAATGGGGCAAATTCGTCCATCGAGCACCCGAAACCCGGCATACACAATTCTAACATAAATTAAACGCATGCATACGTACAACAGGAGCTTAAGGCATACAAGCAACACTCAGATAACTCACCCAACACATCATAACAATCCATCTAATTAATCTCATTCATGGAGAGCTAATTTAAGGCAAAATTACTAGCATGCATACATACAATCCAAGCAAACCCTACAAGTATTTCTTCCTAAATACCGGGTGGTGACTTACCTGGTTGACGCGTGCCCCTTCGCTAGCGTTTCTTTGCCCGTGAGGTGTCCAACACTACTGATTTCTCTAAATTAAGTCCCTATCCACGTAAAAACAGTATTAGAACTGGAGCCGGGACAAAAAT